GAGAAAATTGCCGTTCGTAACTGCGGATCCGACATAAGTCGGATCCGCGTAACTCTGGGACTGCCTGTATGCTGCAAAAATCAGGTGTGCTTTCTGCACATTTGAATCCATTTTGTCGTAGATTACACAGGGCCTGGTATGTTTGTGATATCCTGAACTATTAGAGAAGAAAAACAACTGAGCTCCAGTCCTAGCAGGTAAAAGAAATTGCCGTTCGTAACTGCGGATCCGACATAAGTCGGATCCGCGTAACTCTGGGACTGCCTGTATGCTGCAAAAATCAGGTGTGCTTTCTGCACATTTGAATCCATTTTGTCGTAGATTACACAGGGCCTGGTATGTTTGTGATATCCTGAACTATTAGAGAAGAAAAACAACTGAGCTCCAGTCCTAGCAGGTAAAAGAAAAATTCTTGTTTTAAAAATTATCCATATTTATTCTTCTTATTTTGACATATAAAGCTAGCAATTAACTTCACATATAAATAACTTCTACTTTCCACTAATCTGTAACAAGAAAGTACAGTTGAATGACTCTGCAAAATTCAAATTAGATAGTACTTTACAGAAGAACATTTTTGTCTTTACTTACCTACATCCTAGAACAATAAATGAAGCATCCCAAAAAAGTAATATCATTCCGTAAGGAAGTAGGAAATGAAGGAATGATTTGCCCACAGTTTGAATGAATAATATGTAATTAAGTCAGGGGATGCATGTAAGATGTGTGTTTTGTCAAGCAGGAAAGAAGATAGAAAAGTTTTCATAGTATAGTTCCTACACAGAAGGCAGAGTAGAATATACATAGAGCTCTGCAAATCTTTGGATATCTGTTTTATATTCGCAGTTATCTGCGGATATCCGTGGATTATTTTTTGCAGATGCGGATACCAATTTTGTATCCATGCAGGTTTCCAGACATATCTGTGTAGAAGAAATATACTGAAAGAGAAGAGGGTTGTTCAGTGTTACATTGCTCATAAATGGAGACAAGATAGATGCAGAAGTTTATATATTTAAAAAACTCCTTCATACTGTAGTCAGTATTTCTGTTACAGGAACTGTATCAAGAAAAAATAATAAAGTATTTTATTTTAAAAGTTTTATGGGATGTGGCTAGGATTCTCTTCATCTTTGGATTCAGTTGAGAATGGCAATTACAGAACTGGATAGCAAATGCATTTTTATTTTTTATGGATTCTGATAACTATTAACTGACACATAGAAGATCATCCTCAGTGTCCAGGCCCAGCAAAGAATGGGTTTTATTTTCCCTATGTTTCTTCCTAGCTGTGCAAAATATTTATCTCTGGGATTCTGAAGGTTGAGATTCTTTGAGCACTTGCTTCATGAGTTGTATATATCAAGGGACCCACTATCTTTTTTCACAAGTGTCTTTAATTTTCTGAGTCTCTGTCACTGTGTGTCTCAGTTTTGTACTTGTTGAAGACAGTTTTCTGGACTATGCAGGTTGTCAGCTGTTGAGACCTTAAGTGGTGGCTTTCTGGTGGCTTTCACTTTATCAAGTGCTCATAATTTGCTTTACAGAGTAGAATTCATTTTATTTGTTTTCTGGTTCACGTTTTCCAGTAGGTCTCTACTAGAACCAGTCTCCTGATGCTGAAGTGGGGATGATGTGGCAGATCTGGAGGTAGTTGCTCTGTGAAGAGTCAGGGGGAAACACAAGCTTAATGTGTAGTACTTTGTAATTGTCAGACAAGTTAAATTGTTTACAGCATTATTATTAGCTGTTTATAACAAATATATAAATATTTAACACAAAGTGCCACAGTTTGTAAACAGACAGCTGTAACTCTGCTTTTCTGGATTCTCTGACAGTCAGACCTTGCCTCCTTTTGTAACTTGAGTATACACGGGTGTCTGTTAATGATTTAGGACTTAAGCGTTAGTTTGCATTTTATTTATGTGAAAGGTTGAAAGAATTATCCTGGGATTTCTTTGATGGCCGCACTCATTGCTAGCTAGCACAGTGCCCAGTAAGTGCTGTGAGAATGGTGGTCCTACTGCTTCTATCCTAGTCTTTGTCCCATGAATGAGGTTGGAGACATTGCCCAGTCACAACCTCCATTCTGTGTCCTCAAAATTGTGTCTGTGTGGGTTAGGCTAGGGTGACATCCACTGTCCATTTCCTCCAGTAAAATAGAAAACAAATGCTTTCTTGATTAGCAGAATGTAGAACTGCAGTACCAATTAATGTGGTAGTAACCACAACACTATTGGACAGACTCAAGAGCTCTTTATGTGGAAGGACAGGGAATGTGCTTGCAAAGGAATAAAGAGATGGCTTTGTGTGGACTGGCTGTGCTGCAGTACTCTTCTAGTGAGTTCACTGAGCACATATGGCTGGAGTTTTGTTCTAGCAGCGATGTGTTCTAGCAGCGATGTGGAGTTTTGTTCTAGCAGCGATGTCCTGGACTACGTTCCTCTTCAAATTACAAAGTATTTCCATTCACAGTGAATTTGTCAAGTTATTTTTGTGCCTTTTAGGTCTCTCTACTGTGATTTGGCACTTTCTGAAGCACTTTGAACCCAGACTGTTCTATTGCCTCAACTTCTCTATAAAATACATTAATTACCATAGTAGCCCAGTTCTTTGTGGGCAGTGCGAAGCCCTTGCACGTGCTGTCTGTGCTATATCAGGGTAACCAGCAGGGACGTCAACATGTAGTCCACTACACAACTTACCCATAAGCCATGGCTTATCGGTTAATCTTATCAACTACATGCACGCCCCCTCCTTGTTGCCTCTGGCTTTAAGCAAGCTCCCCGCAAGCACCGCATCTGCCTACTCTCCACAATCCCCGACTGCTGCCTCTGATAAGCAGCAGCACGGAGGGTGAGGGGGGCAGGCTGGAGCCAATATGCACAGGGAGCCAGCTTATGGCTCTCTTTTTTTTTGTGCCGGCTCCACGGACCTGCCTGTCCCCTGCAGGGGAGGCAGGAGCCAGTGCTGGGGAGAGCCAGCTTAAAAGCTGGCTCCTCTCAGCGCTAACTCTGTGGTGCCACCACCCCCGGGCACTGCCGTCTCTGATAGAGGCAGCACGGGGAGCGAGAGTGGGGGAGGCTGCCACGAAGCAGCCTCTGAGCAGCCCCTCTCTGCAGGTGGTTGGTGCTTCCCACAGACAGGGGCTGCTGCTGGACCTCCCTCTGTCTGGCAGGCCCAGGCATGCCGTGGACAGAGTTGGTCTGTGGGAGGCGGAGCAGCCTCTTGTCTGCGGGGAGCTCGGACCCCCACAGACAGAGGCTCCTGCCATCCTGCACTGCTGCCTGTGTATCAGAGGCAGCTGGTCTGTGTGGTGAGCTGTCTTTTAAAATTAGCTCCCTTTGCAGACCGGCTCCCGCCCCTCGCCCCGCGCTGCTGCCTCTGATTGAGAGAGAGCAGCGTGGGGAGGCAGCGGGCTCCCTAGGAGTGGGGGTGACAGCGCACTGGCTGTTGGCCCCGCCCCCATGGTCTATTGAATAGTCGTGTAACTGCTAAAATTTTGTTCAGTTACACGACTACTTAATTACATGCTAACATCCCTAAGAAGCCAGCATTTGAAACCAAAACCTAATTTAATTTACTCTGACTGTGCAGTGAGGACACATGACTTTCAAAGGCTTTTGGTTCTGGCACAGAACTGAGCGTCCATGGTAGCAGCAACTCTTTGAAGTGGCAACGTCACCATCAAATAAAGCATGCAGCATAATATTGGGATTAGTACGTTCTAAAGTGGCCAGCAGGAACTGCATACATCTTAAAGGGCATGTCAGCACTACAATGTTTTACTCAGGTCCTGGCTCATCTTCATGGAGATGTGACCAAAACTTCGCATGTCTATACTGCCACCCTCACACTATCCTTACAGTACCGTGAGGCCATGCAGATGCTGCAGTTACATGCGGTTGGGATTTGGGGAGAGGGATATTCTAGGGGAAATTGTTTTATAATGGAATTGGAGGAAAACTTGTTAGGCTTCTGCATGGAAACTGATTTTAGCCTGCTAAAAAAATTAGGTTATTCATGTCCCATCTGTTCCATCTGGGGCCTCAGCATGAATCCAGTACTGTTGGATGAGCCACTCTTGCTTGTGACTGAGCTGCTTGAGGCAGAGTAGATCTTCCGCGGGACATTGGCTGACATTTCAGCCGTGATTTTGCCCCACTTGTTATGCCCTTCCAGCATGACTGTGAGCCATTAATAACGACTCTCATCTGGCTATTGCAACAGCTTCTCTCACCTTAAACTGGTGAAAAATGGTTGAAGAGGGAGGGTAAATGGAGCAGCTTCTGCCCTTTGTAACTTTGCAGGCCCTCAGTTGGGTAACTCACCTGAACAGGTGACCACAGAATCCTACCAGCTGACTTTGTTGCTAGGTGAGCTCCCCTGCCAGAGCAATTCTCTAGGTTGAGAGCCTGTCTTTTGTCTAGACCAATTACCTTTCAGTGGTCAGGCACTTAAGTAAGTAATCCTATTTTGTTATTCCTTTGCCATTCACTTTTCCAATTTTGGACCAACATGGTAACGGGACAAGAAAGAAGATAAAGAACCACACATCCAAAAGAGAGGCTGCAGTCTGGTAAATAGATCTACAGAGTTCATAAACACCGACAGAATTCACCATCTCCACAGACAAATTCCACAAATTGTCAAAGAGATAGTATCTGTTCCCAAGGTTAACAGGTTCTGGATCCTGAAATAAGACCATTACTTCTGTCTTTGTCCATGCTCTCCTTCCCTCCATCATCTGTAGTGATGGAGGGAAGGAGAGCATGGAGCGGTGTTACATATCTGTAATAGCTCACCAAGAAAGTGGTGAACCATAGTTATACCAACTTTATGACGTGGCAGTGAAATGTGCACAAGAAGACTTAGAGTGGAGGATTGACATATTTAGTTTTTGTGGTCATCACCAGCTATTCCATATTAACTGGCAGGACAAGATCCAAAATGACCAATTTGGGCACCACACGTTTAGAAAGATGTGAACAATTTGGAGCGACTCCAGAGGAGATCAACAAAAATTATAAGAGGTTTAGAAAACATGACACAAAAGAAAAGGTGGAAAGAACTGGCCATTGTACATTTAGAAAATAGATGGTTGAATTGAGACACAGTTCTTTAAATAAGGTTATTATAAAGATCCGTTACCAATTTTTTCCATATCTACCAATGGTAGAGCAAGAAATAGTCAGTTTAGTTTATAGCAAAGAAGATATATGTTGGCTATTATGAAAAAAATCTAACTTTAAGGATGGTTAAGCACTGGAACATGCTATAAAGGGAGGCTGTGGAAACCCTATTCTTGGAGGTATTTAAGAACAGTTTAGACAAACGCCTGTCAGATACAGTGTAGGTTTGCGTAAGCCTGTCTAAGCCCCGTGGAATGAACTAGATGACCTCTTGAGGCCCCTGGCAGACCTATATTTTTAAGATACTGTATTTGTGGCTGAACCCAGTAATTGTCTCCATTGGTGCTGTGTTTGTTTTGGCAGCTCTTCTGGTACATACATATTATTAGGATGGAAGCAAATTACAAAGCATGTTTACCAAGGAGTTAGCCATTGATCAGCTGGTTGCTAAAAACTTCAGTGATGTGATTTCCAGTGAAGGAGATAGGACATTAAACTAGGAGGCTGATCTTTGTCCATCTGGTATTTGCCTTGAAAATCATGATGATGACTAGGAAAATGGACTGGAATAGATCCCATTTTGGGATTTGATCCAACACCAGCTCATCCAGTCTATATCCATGTGAATGGGCAAGTTGAAGACAGAATTCCCCTTTTTCCCCGGAGGACTCTGGCCTTCAGCTGCTGTATACAGTACTTAATGGGCAAATTGCATGTATGCTCTGTATGGTCTTGCAAAGAGGCAGGGTGAGAGACCAGATTCTTCATTACTCCATTTCTGCACTCAGCATAAAATTGGAGTAGGAAGTAGGTCCATGATGCAACAGAGAGAAATCGAAGCATGTTCTACATTGTGCCATCTTGTATGACTCCCTAAGGGATATTATTTCTAAGTAAGAACAGCCAGAGAGCATTCTAGCTATGCCTCATCCCTCCCTAGAAAACCCCCTATACGGAGAGCTGACTGGGGAGGTAGCATAGAGCCATTGCAGCAGTTTCATGCTTGCCCAGGGAAAAGGTTTTTATTGGGAACATCTTTGGGTTGTTTTCAACTGTGCTATAGTCCTCCTATATTAGGCTGGTGGTATGAAAGAGTCAGAGCATATTCCAGAATCTGGCTGATTAGGAGCACTTCTCTAAAAAGATTTGTACATTCCTGAAAAAAATAAAGTATGTTGTTAATATAGCACAGGGGTGGGGAACCTCAGGCCTGGGGACTTGATGCGGCCCCTGGCTTGCCTGGATCCAGCCCCCAAGGCTCAGAGCTTCCCCCCAGTAATGAGGAGACCCTCCTGCTACCCTACCACAGGGCTGGAGCACACAAAAACTACTAGCCTGCATACCCCCAGGCTCTGGCATGAGGGGAATGTGCGGAGTGTCTTTCTGTTCTCAGTCAGGGGCCATATCAGGGTATTTTGGGGTGTTTTTTTTCACTTGTGTGGCCCCGACTGATTTTTCTGTGAGTCAGTGGCCTCCAACCCAAAAAATGTTCCCCACCCCGATATAGCAGAATGATCAGCTTCTGTAATTTGCGTCATGCATAGACCCTCTTAAATAATGCTGTCATGGGAATTAAATTTTATAATACCTGTTGTTCAGTGCAGTCTGCCAAAAGCAAAGCATTGGTGTCCAAGAGAGGCCCAGGGATAAGTCATCTCTGACAAGGATGATTAACCATTGCCCACAACTCTTCTGTCAAGTTGGAAGCCAATTTTACAGCTGAAGTCTCTGCATAAGAATGGAAAAGCTGGGTTACTTTTAACTTAAAAAAATGGTGAGGTGATAATGTGAAGTGAAGAGGAATGATACAAAATCAGAAAAGGAGTAAAAGATATAGTGGCACAAACTGAAATATCAAAAAATATTTGAAGGAGACAGAAAAAACAATTTTCTCCTGTTGCACTGAATGATAGTTAAAATGGAATAAATATGAGTCCATTTCAACAACAATATTTGTAAAGACATCAGTGTTACAAAATATCCTTGTGACTTTAAGTCAGTTATGCAGACTCTTGAAATGTTTTCTGAAGCTTTGTTACACATAGTCCTTCAGCAAAGAAATACAGTGAAGTGCTTGAAAATTTTTGTGTGCGCATGTATTTGAATTATGCCTGTGCATCTTCATAAGCCTAATTATAATTCAGTATTGTTATACAGTAAAGCCAGTTTTAAAGTAAACCCATAGATTTTCTTAATAAGCTCATTGCTCTACTCTAAATAGAATGGGGCATAGTAAAAAACTGGCACCTTAGTTAGGATAGCAAAAGGGTCAACATTCCAGATTAGTAATCTTGGCAAGGAAGAGTTGGCTCATTTAAGGAAAGTGATATTTGTAGCTCACTTAGATAAATACACATCTGAATTGTCCATCTCAGGGACTATATACTAATGAAATTAAAGGTTTCACTTTTAAAATTTAATGTTTTAGTAATAATGTATATAATAGTGAACATTTATATAATAGTGAACATCTTCCATAACAGACATTATACTAATTTATAGTGGCTTTGTAGGGTAGGTACTGTAATAATTACTATTTTGCAGGTGAGAAAACTGATAGAACGTTTAAGGTTCATTAAGGCACCCAGCCACTTACTCATGCCAATGTGCTGCCTCTCTTTCAAGTAGGTTACCATTTTCTTTCTCTTGGAACAACTCACTGAGATTTCAGGCATAACCTCAAAGCTGATTATATGCTAACAAAATTAGATGCATGAAGAAATAGATTTTGGTTTTAATTTGTGGAAGAAAATATGTGACTGCTTCCTATTGAATTTGTTTTTCTAAAAACATTACAGTGGCAGTAGAGCAGTATTCCATTCTTGTTTTCCATAAAAAAACTGGTGAGACTTTATGAAAGGTGTTTGTTGTTTTGTTTTCAAATGGTTCAGTTGAATTTTTTATGTCTCACTTTTTTTAAGCAAGGTCAGTCATTGCAATGTAAGTTGTTTTTGCCTTTTACTTTTCTTTCATAGCTCTTCAGCACATTAATTGTCCCACATTTGAAGTCATTATTTTTATAATTGCATAATAATATAAATGGTAATCAGTTATAATGCTACCTAATCAAGTTTTTAATTGTTCAGTCTAGGGATGTCAATCTGAAGATGACTATACGATTAACCGATAAGCCTAGGCTTATTGGATAATCTTGTCGACTACATGCATTTCCTCCCCCCCCCTTGTTGCCTTTGTATCCGCTTAACAGCTAGCAGCAGAAGGGGAGGCTGCAGCTGAGCAGACTCTGTCTCTAGCAAGGCTTCTTCGTGGCAGCAACCACCGGTCTGCGGGGAACTCGAACCCTACATGGACAGGGGCTACTGCTACCCTTCGCTGCTGCCTCTGCATCAGAGGCAGCAGCGGAGGGTGGGAGCCAGTCCATGAGGAATGCTGGTTTTTAGACCACTCCCCTCGTGGACTGGCTCCTCCTGACACCCCACATGAGATGGAAGTGGGCTCCCTGGAATTGGGGCTGGGAGTTAACTGGCTGCCAGCCCCTGGGAACTATTGAATAATCATGTAACTGCTAAGATTTCATGTGGTTACATGACTATTTAATTACCCGATGTCTAACATCCCTAGTTCAGTCATACAAAAATGTGTATATTAACCTATGTTACATTATCTGTTTTGCAAATGTCAGAATGCATAGAATATATCCTGTAGAGACGTTAGAGATTGATTCTTGAGGAAGACACAAAATAACATTTAATTTGTTAGAATATCCCAGGTTCATAGACTGTAAGTCCAGAAAGGACCATCATTATTATCTAGTCTGACCTTCTGTATATATCAGGCCACAGAATCTCACCCACACCCTCATCTCTGACTGTTACCAAAGTCCTCCTCACATCATGATGTAAAGACTTCAAGTTACAGAGACTCCATCATTTACACAGACCCAGAGCATTCCTCATTTAGTTTTCTGATCTCTGTGTTCTAACACAATGCTAAGGTGTTTGAGTTGTTTAACTCAAAGCATAATAGATCAGAATATGTAACTAACAATTGTGCCAACCCACATGATTATTTGTTTTTATAATATATCTGTTACCCACGTTTCGTCTGTTTTTGTGTTTTGGACCAGGAGTCTGCACCACCATGCTGTATGATGAACACTTAACAAAATTACCATACTGGAGGGTAGGAGATTTATATCATTCTGCCATTTGATTTTTTTTTTAATTACTATGGACCTCAACATTTTTACCATGGACACATTGCTGACCCCTGTTTTGGATTGTAAATTTGTGAGATAGGAATGCTTTTAATATGTTAGCAGAGAGCCTTGTTTGTGCAGTGGGATCTATCGCAGGATGAGCTGATGTTTTAAAGTGCCTTGAGGGTCAGCTGCACGTAGTTCTAGTCTCAGTCCACCTACCGTGGAGAAGGGAAAGGTCCTGGGCTCATAGGCTATAAAGATGAAATTCTGAACCAGGCCAGTCTGAACAGAGTTCCTAATAACCCTAAAACTGCCTTTCCTACTCCATTGTCTCTCCACACATTGAGACCCTGCAATTCTGCCCACCTTCTTGATCATGCATGTGGAACTGGAAGCATTTCAGTGACTGCACAATAGAGGTTCTATTCTTCATGTTAATTTATTACCTAGTTCAGGTTGAACCTCCTAAATCCAGGACTGATTGGTCCGACAACATCCGTGGTCCGGCAGTGTTATGGATGTTGCTGGACCAGAGAGCTCCAGTGCCCGGGAGTGCGAGTCAGGAGTCGAGCGGCAGGGATGCCCACCATCGGGACTGGTGAGCTCTGTCCTGGGGACCCCCATCTGGGTACAGCCAAAGCCTTCTCCCAGCATGGGGCAGGTGCAGAGCCCTATCCATGGGAAATGCCAGCTGGCTGCAGCAGCCCCAGAGGGTCCCAGCCAGCTGGCAGAAAAAGGCCAGAGCCAACCCAAAACCCTGTAAGCAGCAAGGCTGGAGCAGAGCCAACCAGAGGGAGGGAAAATGTCCTGGGAGGCTGGTGGCAAGGGACGGGACCTCCCTTGACCTGGCAAATTCCCTCATTTGCAATGGGTCATGTCCGGAGGGTGCTGGATCAGGGAGGTCCAACCTGTAGTAGCTTAAATTTGGCCCGTGATATCTCTCTCCTACCTGTTACTATGTCATGTATCAGCACTGTGTGGAAATCTATTGAGATGTCTTGTGAGATCCTCATTCTTTGCAACCAGCAGGCAATTTACCATGCAATTTACCATACTTTTAAGCCAGCTCCCTCCAGCACCAGCTTCTGCTTCCCTCTCTGGCAGCCTCTGATATAGAGACAGTGGGCGGTTGGGGGGGTGGGAAGGGAGTGGACTACTCAACTACTCGCTTACAGTTGTATTGCACACATCCTTACCAATCTGCCTCCCTCAAAACCACCTGCTGCTGCATCAGATAGTCACAACTACTAATGGGGAAAATCTAGTAAAATAGTGTGTGCAGAAGTGTGAACAAGTGCAGAGTTAAGGCTGATTTGTGCTGTACAGGGGTTATGGTTGGCTTGTGAGTTGAGGACTGCTTGTACCATTAAAGAGCTCAACTTTCCATATTCTGTTGGGTTATTTTGGATCAGGGATATTTGTATAGAACATCCCTAAGGTTTCACAACTGGGGGTGTTTGTGTTAATATGTAACTGATAGTACACCATCAGTGATGCAGAGTAAAAGCATCCACTTCATTTTACTGTAACAGTCAAGCTTGTGAACTCTTACTTGAAACAGGGTATGCAGAATTAGAGGCAGAAACAAAATTCCTCCCTAAAGATCAAATCTCAGTGGTAATACTTTCAAAAAGTATTCAAGAAGGACCTTGTAACACCAATTATCCAAATATTTAGACAACTATTAGTCTGGGGAGGCACCTGTAGGATAGGAATGTCCACATTAGCTAGAGACTCTCGTGTCTCAGTCTCTAGGGCTATCCTGGGACTTCTGAGAGAGATTGTATCCTTTGCACACTGTCTGTTTTTATCATGTTACCTCTAGCTCCACTTCAGCAAATTACTCTTAACTGTGGATTGAAGGGAATGTTACATTTAAGGATAATGAACCTTTTCCTAAGCAAGCCCCTAGAGCTCACTGAACACAGAGATTCCCACACACTAGTATCTTAAGCTTTTGTCTTTTTGGAGGGGATGGCTGTAATATCTTCAAGATAGTGTTATTAGTTGTGTTGATTGTCAAGGTTGCCTAATGCTTTCCTATTACAAGACCATGTTTTGAATCCTTTACAGCTTTGATGAACTTTCAACTATTTGGTCTAAAACTTTACATTCATTTTTCATTAACTGACTTTTCATTAAAAGTTCTAGTAAAAATGGTTTCTAGAACCTTCAAGTTTGAAATTTGGCTAGAGGGACACCCTAGGGTCAGATGCATGCCTTTTGTTGTCCACTGAGAATCCACCTACCTTTTGGCAGAGATGATTAGCCTCTGAAAATCACAGCTTGCTGAGGTTAGTGTGAAACAGCTACATTCCCCAAAGATGCCGTCTGTAGTGAGTATGCTGCTGCCCAGGGCTGCAAGTTCTGAGTCTCTCTCCTTGCAATCGTTGCTCCCTGATGTTAGGGATTGTTGTGGAACCCACACTAAAACTGTGAATGGGCATAGTCTCTCCTTTTCTCTCTCCTCCCCCTGCTGTTGCCCAGGCAACGCAGAAGAGGAGCATGTTAGCTTCTCCTCCTCCGCATTCAGGGTATAGGAGGTGCTCAGGGAATGGGGGAGAGAGATATGTGAGAAGAAGGGTCTTTAACAACAATAATGCCCACTCATCTCCAGATCCTCAGTTCCTGAGATCCAGTGTTCCTTTGTCGTCTAAATTAAGGCCTGAAGGCTAATTGATCATTAATTCTGACCTTCTGTATATCAAAGGCCATTAAATTTCTAGTAAATGGCTCTGAAAGCCATTATCATAGTTTGTATCTCATATCCCCCTGATGACTAGTACTCTTAGTGAGTAACTACTATTATACCAGCTTATCTGTTAATTCAAGTTGCAGACATCCTGTGCTGTCGATCTATAGCAGGCCTGGGTAAAATACTGCCCGTGGGCCGGATCTGGCCTACGGAAGTAGCAGGGAACCCAGGCAGGCTTCCCTGCTTGCCCCGCAGTCCTACACGCTGCTCAGAAACGTGGCTGCCAAGCCCTGTTTCTGTTTCAAAACTGTGGGGAGGGGGGAAAATTTCAGGAGCTGCCCCTGCATCCAGCACAATCCCATTGGCCAGTTTCTGCCCAGAAACTGGACAATGGGAGTTGCCTGTTTGAATAATAGGCAGCCAAGAAGAACCAAACCCCTCTCCTCAGCTCAGTTATTCACACAAGCACATGGCTGGGCAGTCAGGCTGGCTGGCTGGGAAACATTTTAAGCTCTGCAAGCCTTAGCTGTGTGGGCAGGTTTGGCTGCTGGCTGGTAAGTCTCCTGTCCAGAGCCTGCCTCTGGCACCTGAGTCTCCCTTCCCCAACTTCCTCCCCCCTCCCTCATTCAACATACCAAACATCTCCTCCATTAATATCATGAACTTTTTTGGAAAGTGGTTGAGGGCTGCATTCTTCCATGATATTAATGGAAAAGATGCGGGGTCTGCAATGGAAATTGGGTGCAGAAGGGAGCTTGGGGTAAGGGATTGGGTTCCAGGGGGGAGGGGGGCAATGGAGTCTGGGAGGGAGTTTGGGTGCAGGAAGCAGTTGTGACTTAGGGCACAGAACTGGGATGTGACCTAGGGTAGGAGGGGATTGTGATCTTGGGCAGGAGATTGGGATGTCAGATCTGGGAGGATGTATGGGTGCAAGAGGGAGGCAGAAGCTTTTCCTCTCTCCCCTACAGTTGTGAAACAGAAATGGGACCCGGAAGCTGCATTTCTGAGTGGCATGCAGGTCTCAGACGCAGCTGCGTTTCTAAGTCTGGGGCTCCCTGCTTCCTCCGTAGGCCGGATTTGGTTCTGCCTGTTGGTGTTACACTTGAATCTTGTGTAGTCATTTACATCCGTACAAAGTGAGTGTAAATGCTATCCTAGCACCACTTTGTTTAGTTGTAAATGACTACCAATGTGCAAGGTAGCTGTGAATCAAGCCCTACTGTTGCCATTTGGTATGGAACATCAGATGTTAATACTGAGGGCTGGGTAGGATAGAACTGACTAACGCTTTTTTATTCTTAGTGCTCTAAGTAAAACTGGAAAATGGTTTACATTTTGAAACCATTCTTTCCATTGATGGCATAGCTGGGATTATGGGATCCTTCTGTCCTGGGGATCATTACTTGTGAAGATCAGTTTAGAGGATCAGAACCTCAATTCATAACCAGGCCAACAGAAGTAGTCTTGATCGTACCCTCACTGCTACCAAAGCACAAGCACAGCATACCTATGAAGCCTCAGCTATTTTATTACTCAGTGCTGTCACTGTGATGCAGCAAAGCTGTTGGGCCAAAGGAGTTCATATTTAGACCTGTACATTCCAGCAAGGCCGGCCCGAGCCCTTTTGGCGCAGGCCCGCCCCCAGGGCGCACAGCGTATGCGTGGGCTAGCCACGGCCAATGGCGCGCACCCCGGGGCCCGCCCCTGGGGCGCACAGCACATGTGCTGCCCGGCCCGGCCAGTGCTGCTGGTGTGCGCGCCGGGCCATGCAGGGTCCCGCGGCCATAGGGGTAAGGGCGCTGCAGGACCAGTGCTGCAGGAGCCAGGCACGTGGTGCCTGATGGCAGCTGTAAGGGACGCCACGCGCCCCATTGGTTGGCGCCCTGGGCAGCTGCCCGGCTCACCCATGCCTCAGTCCGGCCCTGCATTCCAGCTAAGAGCTCTACCAGGGCCTGCTAATCCACAAGTGGAAGGCCTAATCCTATGAGGTGTTGAATACCTGCAACTCATTGGCTGTGTCTAGACTCAGCCGCTTTTCTGGTAAAACTTGCCAGCTGTCTACACTGGCTGCTTGAATTTCCGCAAAAGCACTGACTTCCTACTGTAAGAAATCAGTGCTTCTTGCAGAAATACTATGCTGCTCCCATTCGGGCAAAAGCCCCTTTTGCTCAAAACTTTTGCGCAAAAAGTCCAGTGTAGGCAGCTGAGATTTGTTTTCCGCAAAAAAGCCCCGATCGCGAAAATGGCGATCAGGGCTTTTTTGTGCAAAAGCGCGTCTAGATTGACCACGGACACTTTCCCGCAAAAAGTGCTTTTGCGGAAAAGCATCCGTGACAATCTAGACGCTCTTTTCCGAAAATGCTTTTAATGGAAAACTTTTCCGTTAAAAGCATTTCCGGAAAATCATGCCAGTCTAGACGTAGCCATTGAGTTTAAACAACAAGAAGTCTGGTGGAACTTTAAAGACTAACAGATTTATTAGGGTATTTTTTATTTTTTAAAGTGCCTCCAGACTCCTTGTTGGTTTTGCTGAAGTAGACTTAGGTTATGTCTAAACTACGGAGATTTTTCCGGGATACCGGAGATCCAGGGAACATGTCAGCTCTTCCAAAAAATTTTCTGGAAAGCGCAGATGTGCTCTTTTGGAAGCCATACATTCCTCATTTTATGAGGAATAAGGGCTCTTCCAAAAGAAGAGATTTTTCCCACATTTGGCCCCGTGTGGATAGGCCAAATGTCAGAAAAGCCTCTTCTGTAAAAGGAACTGGAAAAAAGGCACGCAAATTGCGATTTTCAAATTGCATATTTTTTTTTCTTTTTTTCACAAACCCAACAGTGTAGACATAGCCTAACACAGCTATCTCTCTGTGAAACCAGTGAGGAGTACTGTGGCACCTTAGAGACTAACAGGGCATAAGCTTTCATGGGTAAAACCCACTTCAGCTGATGAATTGGAGTGGAGTTTACAGAAGTCATAGGATGAAGTGGGTTTTACCGATGAAAGCTCATGCCCCAATAAATCTGTTAGTTTCTAAGGCTACATCTACACTGCAAGGTTTTTGCATAAAAATGGCCATAAAGTGGCAGAACAGAGAGCTTTTGCTGGTGTAGGTTAACCTCCTTCTACGAGGCATAACTCCTTTTTGTGCTACAGCTATTGCACAAAAAGGCAAGTGTGGATGCTCCAGAGGGGTTTCTTGTGCAAGAAACCCCTATGGGAAAAAGCACAGAATGGCCATCAGAGCTTTCTTGCCCAAGAGCGTCCATACAGTGTGGACTCTCTCTTGCACAAAAGCACATCACTTTTGCAATGTTCTTTGAGGTTGCGCAAAAGGCTTCTTGTGAAAGAAGCCTGCAGTGTAGACGTATCCTAAGGTGCCACAGGATTCCTCATTGTCATTGAGTTTAGGTGCTCAGCACTTCTCAGAGTTAGAACTTTTTTGGGGGGGTTACTAATTAAACATCTCTTTTTTTGCCTTATTTCAAAGTTAAAGGGAACCCTGAATTAAATACATTACTGAAAAGCAATAATATGATGTGTTCCCAGATAAGGAGAGAAGGTCTTGATGTTTAAAACATAGCACTGGGGAATCGGGATATCTGGGATCTAGTCCATGCTCCGCCACAGACTTCATGTGTGATCTTGGGCAAGGCATTTATCTCCTCTGTGCCTTGGTTTTTCCATCAGTCCAATGGGTATAATACCTAGTTCCAGTAGGGTTGCCAGTCTTCCAGGTTTGGCCAGAAGTCTCCAAGAATAAAAGATTAGTCTGTAATTACAGACTATCACGTGATGAAATCTCCAGGAATATAGCCAACCTAATTTGGCAAGCCTAACTTTCAAGGCATGGCAATAGGTTGAATTATTTAGTATCTACATATTAATTTCCATTAGGCATAGATTTATTTCATTAGGACGTGATAACCTGTGTTCATAGGTGGACATATATTGATTATATGTTTATATCTTCAATCCCACTGAACATGAAATAGACCCAAAATCAGTAGGAGCTGATGAACTTGAAATAGCATGGATTCCTTATCTTTATCATGTGACGTTTTCTACAACTTCACGTCCAAGTTTTTGTATTTTGAATGTAAATATGAGAGTAGTATTGTTTGTTTAACGTGTGTGTGTGTGTGTGTGTGTGTGTGTGTGTGTGTGTGTGTGTGTGTGTTTGATGTGTCACAAGTAGAGAATAAAGTACTTCAACGGAAGATGCAGGCAGTGAAGTAATTTTTCTCACAAAGTTGGGAAGAAACAAAGACTCTCTTACACAGAACTACAGTATCCTAGCCTCATGAGGTTCTCTGTTGGAGATTCCACAACCTCCCTAGGCAATTTATTCCAGTGCTGAACTACACCGACACGAATCTTTTCCTAATGTCCAACCTAAACCTCCCTTGCTGCAATTTAAGCCTATTGCTTCTTGTCCTGCCCTCAGAAATTAAGGAGAATAATTTTCTCCCTCTTTCTTGTAACAACCTTTTAGGTACTTGAAAACTATTACCATATCCCCTTTCAATCTTCTCCAGACTAAATGAACCCAGTTTTTTTCAATTATCCCATAGGTCATGTTTTCTAGACTTCTTATCATTTTGGCTGCAATTCTGTAGACTTTTTCCAATTCGTCCACTTCTTTTCTGAAATGTGGTGCCCAGAACTGGACAAAATACTACACTTGAGACCTAATCAACACAGAATAGTGCAGAAGAATTACTGCTTATTTCTTGCTTACAACACTGCAGCTAATACATGCCAGAATGATGTTTGCCTTTTTTTCTACAGTGTCATCGTTTGACATATTTAGCTTGTGATCCATTATGATCCCTTTCTGCAGAACTCCTTCCTAGACAATCATTTCTATTTTGTATGCGTGTACAGGCAGTCCCCGGGTTACGTGGATCCGACTTAAGTCGCACCCCTAGATGCGAACGGGGGGAGACCCCTAGATATGAACGGGGGAGGGAGGGACCCCTAGATACAAACAGAGGGGCGCAGCTAGTGCAGGGTACCTCCCCCACTGTTGCCGCCTCTGGCGGCGCGGGGGGCGCTTCCCCCCAGCAGACCAGGGAGACGCGGAGCGGCGAAGCTGCGGAGGACGCAGGCGGCGAGATCGCAGTGCATGTGGGCGGTCCCGCCGCCCGCATCCTCCGTGGCGAGAAAAGCCGCTTCGCGTCTCCCTGGTCTGCTGGGGGGGGCTCCT